TATACAGCACAGATGCAAAGGTCTGGGCAGCCTTTTAAATCTTCACGATTTTCTTCTTATAAATTGTTGGTTGCTAAAATAATAAAATGTCAGTTAAATATTTCATATAGGAGACACTGTCAGGATCTGCTCCGACCCCTCTGTCTCTTGGTCCCGTCTACCCCTAATTAGTGGCTTATTGGACTCACCTGCCCCTTGTTATCCTGCCCATGTGTTCCTGATTATCCCTGTGTATTTATACCCCCTGCTCTGCACTTGTACCTTGCCGGATCATTGTTGTGTCTTCACCCTGTTACATTGCTCCTGCTGTATCCTACCTGCCAGTACTCATTAAATCCATTTTATTTTTACCTGAGCTGCATTTCTGCCTCCTGGTCCAGCTCCACCACACATGGGTCCGCCTCCACCCACACCGTACCGTGACAGACACACTGTGATATTTGATAGTGATGGGAATTCCGGCTCTTTTTAGAGAGCCGGTTCTTTTGGCTCAGCTCACCAAAAAGAGCCGGCTCTTTCGGCTCCCAAGTGGCTCCTCAGATTTTCTGTTGCGTAGAGTACATTTATAACCAAAACAATGCTAAATTATATGTAAAACAATTTACTAATGTAAAAAAAAGCAATATATTAAATATTTATCATTTCTATGGATTTAATAACTGAACACTTTAAGAAATCTCCACTTTCCGACTGCTGGCGCTCATTTTCTCACCGTCTTCGTCGCACTCTCCTCACTCTCGCTCGCCTTTTTCCTCCTCCTCATTCCCTCTCGTCTCCCTCCACCCGCATGTGCTCTGCTGTGTGTCTGAGTATGATCCTCCCTCTTCCCCGCCCCTACTGCTCTGTGTGTGGGCAGTCTGGACACGCAGTTACACATGTTGACCAATCGCCTGTAGCTTTCACCAAGGCAAGGAGGTGGTGGTGGTGGTGTGAGTGTGTGTGTGTGTGTGTGTGTGTGTGTGTGTGTGTGTGTGGGGGGGGGGGGGGGGGGGGCTCCGGGGGGGGGGGGGGGGGGGGGGGCTCCCAATGACGAGCCGGCTCCCGTTGTTCACTTCAAAGAGCCGGCTCTTAGAGCCGGTTCGTTCGCGACCGACACATCACTAATATTTGAGAGGTGAAATGAAGTTTATAAGATTAACAGAAAGTGTGCAATAATTAGGCAGGTGCATAAATTTAAGCACTGTTGTCTTTTCACTGACTCCAAAACATTTAGAACTAATTGCTGGAACTCATCTTTGGTTTTGTAAGCCCAGTGACTCTTGACCTCCACACACAGGTGAATCCAATTATGAGAAAGCGTATTTAAGGGGGCCAATTCCCTTCTCTTTGAATAATCTCTGAAGAGTAGCAACAGGGAGGGATCAGACAAAGTGCACCCCAAAGACACCTTATGATGATTACCTCAAATGGAAACAGTGTTCCCTCACACGGAAGTGGGTCACTGGGGCCCCATCTGGAGCAAGGCCTGGAGGTGGGGCATGTCGGCGAGCACCTGGTGGCCAGGTTTTCACCCATGGAGCCCGACTGGGCACAGCTTAAAGAGAAAACGTGGGTTCCCCATCCCATGGGCTTACCACTTGTGGGAGGGCCAAAGAGGTCTGATGCAATGTGTGATGGGTGGTAGCTGAGGGTGGGAACCTTAGTGACAGGTGGATTGGTGCTGCATTTGCAGTGATGCGTGAGTTGTACCAATCTGTTGTGATGAAGAGAGCTGGGTTGGAAGGCAAAGCTCTCGATTTACTAGTTGATTGTTCCTACCCTCACCTATGGTTACAAGCTTTGGGTTGTGACTTAAAGAAAGAGATCATGGATACAAGCAGCTGAAAAGATTTTTCTCTGCAGAGTGGCTGGGCTCTCTCTTAGAGATAGAGTGAGAAGCTCAGTCATCCGGGAGGGGCTTGGAGTGGACCTGCTGCTCCTTCACATCAAGAGGAGCCAGTTGAGTTGGCTCGGACATCTAGTTAGGATGCTTCCTGGACGCCTCCCTGGTGAGGTTTTTCAGGAACTTCCAACTAGGAGAAGACCTAAAGAAAGACCCAGGACATGCTGGAGGGACTGTGTCTCACTGCTGGCCAGGGAGCGCCTTAGGATTCGCCAGGAGGAGCTGACCCAAGTGGCTGGGGAGAGGGAAGTCTGGGCCTTCCTGCTTAGGCTACTGTCCCCACGGCACGATGAGCAGCCAAAAATGGATGGATTACCAACATGGGGGTTTCAAAACAACTCTCAATGATCTGAAAAAAAACCAACAAAAGATTGTTCAGCATCGTGGTTTAGGGCCGGGGAGTTCTGTTCCAGTCCTGGAGGGCCGGTATCCACATTTTAGTGGTTTCTTTGCTCCAACATACTTGATTCAGTGACGTCACCTGTGCAGCAGCTCACCAAGCTCTGCAGAAGCCTGTCAAATACCTGCTGATTGAAATCAGGGGTGTTGAAGCGAGGTTAAAACTAAAGGGTGCTAGGTACCGGCCCTCCGGGCCCGGAATTGGACCTGCTTTAGGGAAAGGATACAGAAAGCTGCCTCAGAGACTTCAGCTGTCTGTTTCCACAGTTGGGATCATATTGAAGAAATGGAAGACCACAGGCACAGATAAAGTTAAGGCTCCAAGTGGCAGACCAAGAAAATCTTGGATAAACAGAAGGGAAGAATGGGGAGAACAGTCAGAGTCAACCCACAGACCAGCGCCAAAGACCTACAACATCATCTTGCCGCAGATGGAGTCACCGTGCATCGTTCAACTATTGGGTGCACTTTACACAAGGAGATGCTGTATGTGAGAGTGACCCCGGGTTTCCACGGGAGCCGTCAGCAGCACGTTACTGCAGCAGCACGTCTTGCTCGCGTAAGCTGCTGCTTGGCCCTTCCCACGAGACGCGAAGCAGCAGGGGAGCAGCTGTCACCGACTGAGCATGAAGTCACACGAGTGACTTCGTCAGTAAACACAACAACAAGCAGGAGAAAATTACAACATGGTTTGGGTTTTATGTTCTGTCCGTTTTATAATCGCCAATACGGACCTGAAAAACAAAGGAGACCGCTAGCTAGGTGATAACTTCTCACGGGGACACACAGTTAGTAACCTTTTTTAAAAGTAAAGCAACCGGAAAGCAGTACGTTCTTTTTTCTGAAAATCTCGGGAGCTTCTCTCCATTTCCGCGTCCGATTTCCTGTCTTTCCTTCCCCTAAAATGTCGAACTTGACCCGTTTCAGAGGCGTCGCGTGTAGAAAATAGAACCGGCGCGTAAGGGCCGCGACATGCTGCTCCTGAGACGCGGCCGACTCGCGCTGCTGACGGCTGCCGACAGCTCCAGTGGAAAAGGTTCTGTTGACCACAGCGGTTCCTATCAGCAGCTATGACGTGCTGCTGCAGTAACGCGCTGCTGACGGCTCCTGTGGAAAGCCGGGGTGAGGCAGAGGAAGCCTTTTCTCCACCCACAGCACAAACAGAGCTGCTTGAGGTATGCTGAAGCACATCTGGACAAGCCAGCTTATTTTTGGAATAAGGTGCTGTGGACCTAAAATTTAGTTATTTGAGCATAACAACGGGCATTGTGCATGAAGGAAAAAGAACACAGCATTCCAAAAAAATAAATAAACTGCAGCTGTACCTACAGTAATACATGGTGGTGGTTCCATCATGCTATGGGCTGTGTGGCCAGAGCAGGGACTGGCAATCTTGTTAAAGTTGAGGGAAGCATGGATTCCAGTTAATATCAGCAGATTCTGGAGACCAATGTCCAGGAATCAGTGACAAAGCTGAAGCTGCACCGGGGCTGGATCTTTCAACAAGACAATGACCCTACACACTGCTGAACATCTACTAAGGCATTCATGTAGAGGAACAAGTAGAATGTTCTGGAATGGTCATTTCAGTCCCCAGACCTGAATATTACTAAAAATCTGTGGTGTGAGTTAAAGAGAGCTGTCCATGCTCAGAAGCCGTCAGACCTGAACGAACTAGAGATGATTTGTAAGGAAGAATGCAGGCTCTCGTTGGAAGCTATAGGATGAGTTTAGAGACTGTTATTTCTGCAAAAGGATGATCTACTAAATATTTCTGTATTTTCTTTGTTGTGGTTACCAAATTTATGTACCTGTCTATTTTTGTTAAAAAAATTATTGCACTTTTTCTGTAAATCCTCTAAATTCATGTGTCTCCTGTATGATATATGATATATTTAACTGAAAATATTTTATCCTAACAATCAATGATTTGTGAAGGAAAATCATGAAAATGCACAAGGCTGCCCTAACTTTTGCATCCCACTGCATATTCCGAACGATTACCTACTTTAGAACAGGGTTTGGTTAAATAAAAAATATACTCATAAACTACGTGCCCCAGCTTTAATGTTATGATAATAAACTTGGTTTAACTAACTAAATCCGGACGTTTTTCAGGAAATAAGAAGTGTGCATCTATTGCAAAATTTTCTTAATGTATGTCAAATCCTGGGACCATACCAGAGAGCTGACACAATTAGAGCAGTGGCCAATATTTCCTGATCAGATGTATCACTGGCATCTTTCATCAACAAATATTGAGCTGGAGTGAAAACCCATAAAAGAATCGCAGATAGTGTTATTAGATGACATAGTCTCAGGGGGATGTGGAACGATTGGTGCATGTTTTAGTACTCAGCAGACTGGTGTTTAGAATATTAAGTCTGGTTAAATCCTGCAGTTTCATTTTCCTGAGTGATGCAGCTCAGTTAAGTTGAGATGGATAATGAATATGAAGGCAGGTTTTGCGCAACTTCAATAACGTCAGTGGCAAGAAGACCAGGGGGGACTGACGGCGTTGGAGACAGAGGGAATATGTTTCAAGAATGAGAATAATTAGTTATATTATTCTTTGCTCTCAAAGTTCTCATGTGGCTTTCTTTTTGAGCAGTCTTTACTTGTGAAAGGATTTTTGTTTTAGTTGCAGACAATACTCTTATATCAAATGCCAACATGGCATTTTTTCTCTTTGAATGCCATATTTTTGTCTGCATTGCAGATGTGAGTTCAGCCTCTACTGGTAAACTTCTCATTTCTCTGGGAAGTCTGCTGGATGACCAACACTGGCACAGTGTTAAGCTGGAGCGGCTCAACACTCACCTCAATCTGACTGTGGACAGAAACACACAGCAGGTCCACGTATCAGCAGAGCTCAGCCACTGGCACATTCATACGGTGAGAAAATATTTGATACAAAACGATTGTGCTCTGTAAACCTTAAATACATATTTATCTCCCTCTAAAAAGGCCAAAGGGGACTTTGTTTGAGTTCTAGAGCTTTAGAGAATATCTCACGAATCTCTGGATGGAATACTCAGAAAGTAAACATTAGACATTGAAAACCCTTTTAGGATGACTGTCACAGAGAAACCTTAGCAAACACAAAAAAGGCTCAAACTCAGTTCAGTTTTACATGACGTGTGGAGTCCCCCAAGGTTCTGTTCTTGGACCACTGCTCTTTAGTCTCTATGCTCCTCATGGGTCAAGTTATATACAGGTCCTTCTCAAAAAATTTGCATATTGTGATAAAGTTCATTATTTTCAGTAATGTACCGATAAACATTAGACTTTCAAATATATTAGATTCATTACACACAACTGAAGTAGTGATGATTTTGGCATACAGCTCTTGAAAACCCAAAATTCCTATCTCAAAACATTAGCATATTTCATTCAACCAATAAAAGAAAAGTCTTTTCAATACAAAAAAAGTCAACTTTCAAATAATTATGTTCAGTTATGCACTCAATACTTGGTCGGCAATCCTTTTGCAGAAATGACTGCGTCAATGTGGCGTGGCATGGAGGCCATCAGCCTGTGGCACTGCTGAGGTGTTATGGAGGCCCAGGATGCTTCGATAGTGGCCTTAAGCTCATCCAGAGTGTTGGGTCTTGCGTCTCTCAACTTTCTCTTCACAATATCCCACAGATTCTCTATGGAGTTCAGGTCAGGAGAGTTGGCAGGCCAATTGAGCACAGTAATACCGTGGTCAGTAAACCATTTACCAGTGGTTTTGGCACTGTGAGCAGGTGTCAGGTCGTGCTGAAAAATGAAATCTTCATCTCTATAAAGCTTTTCAGCAGATGGAAGCATGAAGTGCTCCAAAATCTCCTGACAGCTAGCGGCATTGACCCTGCCCTTGATAAAACACAGTGGACCAACACCAGCAGCTGACATGGCATCTCTGACTGTGGGTACTTGACACTGGACTTGAGGTTTTTTGGCATTTCCCTCTGCCCAGTCTTCCTCCAGACTCTGGCACCTTGATTTCCGTATGACATGCAAAATTTGCTTTCATCCGAAAAAAGTACCTTGGACCACTGAGCAACAGTCCAGTGCTGCTTCTCTGTAGCCCAGGTCAGGCGCTTCTGCCGCTGTTTCTGGTTCAAAAGTGGCTTGACCTGGGGAATGCGGCACCTGTAGCCCATTTCCTGCACACGCCTGTACATGGTGGCTCTGGATGTTTCTACTCCAGACTCAGTCCACTGCTTCGGCCGGTTCCCCAAGGTCTGGAATCGGTCCTTCTCCACAATCTTGCTCAGGGTCCGGTCACCTCTTCTCGTTTTGCAGCATTTTCTGCCACACTTTTTCCTTCCCACAGACTTCCCACTGAGGTGCCTTGATACAGCACTCTGGGAACAGCCTATTCGTTCAGGAATTTTTTTATGTGTCTTATCCTCTTGCTTGAGGGTGTCAATGATGGCCTTCTGAACAGCAGTCAGGTTGGCAGTCTTACCCATGATTGCGGTTTTGAGTAATAAACCAGGGTGGAAGTTTTTAAAAGCCTCAGGAATATTTTGCAGGTGTTTAGAATTAATTAGTTGATTCAGATGATTAGGTTAATAGCTCGTTCAGAGAACCTTTTCATGATATGCTAATTTTTTGAGATAGGAATTTTGGGTTTTCATGAGCTGTATGCCAAAATCATCAATATTAGAAACAATAAAGGGCTTGAATCTAATATAAATGAAAGTCTATGTTTATCATTACATTACAGAAAATAATGAACTTCATCACAATATGCTAATTTTTTGAGAAGGACCTGTATTATATCACAGTTTTGCAGATAACACCCAGATCTACCTAGCTTTATCACCTAGTGACTGTGGTCTCCAAGACTCTCTTTGTCAGTGTTTGGTCAATGAGTGGATGCAGTCAAACTTCCTCCAGTTAAACAAAGACAAGACTGAAGTTATTGTCTTTGGAAATAAGAAGAATATGATGGAGATTATTGCTCAACTTGGCTCCAGAGGAAAAAAGATAAACACAGGTTAGAAATCTTTGTGTCATAAATGATTCAGACCTGGGCTTCACTGATCACATTAAACTATAACTAGATCAGCGTTATATCATCTTCATTAATGAGCAGGACTCAGAGATCCAGACAGGACCTAGAGAAAGTCATTCATGTTTTCATCTCCAGTAGGCTGGACTAATGCAACGGTATTTTCACTGGTCTTCCCAGACAAGCTGTGAAGCAACTGTAGCTTATTCAGAATGCTGCTGCTAGAGTTTTAACAAAAACCAAGAGAACCGAGCACATCACTCCTGTTCTTGAATCTCTACACTGGTTACCAGTAAACTACAGGATCTATTTCAAAGTGATTCTACTAGTTTATAAGTCACTCAATGCCATGGGGCCAGAACACATGTTGGATCTGCTTCAGGTACCGTAAATCCTCTAATACAGGCCCGGGCCTGTATTTTACTCAAGCTCATCAAGCTCCAGGCCTTTATTGGAAGGAGGGCCAGAATTAGAGGCAGGCCTCAATTTCTATTTGAGCAAAATGAACTAATGGCTCGCTGGAGTTTTTGACAATTAAAATTGCGCCCACATTTTCAAAGTTAAACACATTTCTTTTAACAACGGTAGTTTCTGCTTCAGCCATCTTCCCCCTCCCCCTGCACAGCGGCCGCAAACTCACTGGTGCGCCTGCAGCCTCTCGGAGTTCCTGCTGCTCTAAACATTAAAATAATTATTTCATTTTCTGTTCCTCACTTCTGATTACCTTCAATGGTGTCTGTTTGTTGCAACCACCAGGTACAAAAACTAACTTGTTTTTATTTGACTATTTTTCTGTCCTGTCTCTGTTTTTTATCTTCCTGCATCTCCTCTCAATCCCAAAGAAAAATTGCTACCTGGGTTCATATATATTCACCTTATGAGTTACCTTTGAACTGCAGTTCTAAAAAATCTACCGACCGCAAAAACAGCGGAGTGCTCGCCGGCCGCACCGGTGAGGTGCGTCACCGTAGGACAAGGTGATGCGCCCTGCTCCACAGCAGCGAAAAGCATCAGGCACAAATAAAAGACAGAAAACATAAAAGGAAATGAGCCGACATGAACGATTGCGCGTTAAATTAGTTTTTAAGGTGGCGACACCTGATTTGATAATGTTACTGCGGCCGTGCTCAGGACGCAGATGTCTGGAGCGCGTCAACAATCAGAGCTTTGCATGCGCAAGCTGGTTAAGGTTAGGATGGGGGTGAGGGGAAGACTAAATTGCAAGAGGGTAAAGGTCACAATTTGGTTAAATGTCCGTTTTACGGCGGGTGTCGGTACCGACGCTCTGGCACAGCGCGTTGCCCCCCGACGCGCAGGAGCTTGTCACCTGCTGACAGCAGGCTGCTGTCTTTTCTGAGGACTGCATCTTGCCGGTCATTATCACGTGACAGCGACTAGTCGATGACAGGCATAAAAAGTCACTATAGTGAAGTCGACTAATTCATACAACCCCTACTGCTCCCCAGAGTGTTCTGCAGCATGATCAGCACGTTCTCTTTGAACTTGATATCAAATTTTCGCCTCCTCTTCGTCTCCGCACCTGCCATGGTTAAAGTTACCCTCGCGGTCTATCACTGGCAAATCAAAAGTGAAGCGGATGTCACAACGCCACATTCCACCCTTTCAGCCTAGACCTAAAAGCCATCACAGAGGAGGACTGTAAGTAATGTAAGAGTCTTGGGGCCGCAAGTGGAAAAGTTAATTCAGAGACTGGGAGACTGAGAGCAGCAACAAGTTTCCAGAGCGAGGAGCCTTATTTGTCACAATGACATGTGCATAAATATTAGAAACATCTTGTCCTGGTCCTGAGTAATCTTAGTGACTCCACCAGCTTTGGCTCTGCCCCAATTTCCCTCAGAAACTTCTCCACAGCGACGTTCAACGAGAAACTCCAGCCGTGTTGTTTTTTGTTCCAGAAACATGAAAATGACAAAGAAAATCCTTTTTGTTATCTTGGTTTCATGAATTTTAGATGGATGCTTTAGACAATGCTTTCCTATGTTGAAAAGCCTTTTTTGTTTAGGATAGGTGGTCTGTGATATAAAACACATCAACCTTTTTAAAGCTGGACTCCTGTAGTTTTCTCCAGTCTAATTAGAAGAACCAGTGTATCATGCCTGGAAACAACCTTTACTTTAACACGAGTCTGCTGATTAATGAATCAATCAAGTGAGATTTGTGGTGAGTAAACCAGACAGAAGATTTATTAGTTCTGCTGCAGCCAAATGTCAAAGCACGAGGGCATCTCAGTACCAACCCTTCCCGTGGTCCTACTAACAAGCCGATTCCGGAAAACTGTGAAATGGAATTATTGCTATTGTTGCTCTGCACTTTTGTTTCTATTGCAACAACTAGATTATCCAGAATATGATGAATTTGGTGTGTGTTAATGTCACATGCAGCTGAGTGTGGGAGCTGTTCAGAGCCACGGGCTGCAGAAACCCATCCTGTCCAACAGGAATTTTGACGGGTGCCTGGAGAACCTGCTGTATAACGAAATCAATCTGATCAACCTGGTTAAGCAGAACAGCTCACAGGTCACTGCCGCGGTGAGTCACAGTGTTGATATTTGTCATTATGATCATCTGACATTTAGAGTTTGTTAGAAGGACCATCGCTGACTTTAGGAACCGTAGGTAATGGAATAAATGTCAGGCCAGGTTAAAACCTACCTGGGACGTTTATACTTCTCATGATGATTCAAGTTTTTTTTAAGTAAGAAAAAAGTAATGATTGAAAAGAATCATACAATATGTTACATTAAAGTTGGTGCAGAATATTATTTAAGATGTTAAATCAATTAAAATAGCATTATTTATTTGCATCTTCATGTGGAAGTTCAGACCCCCTTTCTGTCATATTTCATCTCTAATTTTATGTGTACAAAACTTTTTTATTTCGTCTTTATCAGAAAAAATGATGCGTGGAGATTCAAACCAAAGAGAGCAAACCCTTTCTATTGTTCAGCTTTGTGCACTTCCGCTTTTACATTCAGCAGCTTGTAGAAATTAGGAATCTTGGTGGATTTTGGGTGACATTTGCTTGTTTGACTTTATAAACGTTCAGATTTCAAGAATTCGTCTCATTACAGATTAATATTGTGCCTCTGAGATTAGTAACATTGATTCCCAGATAAAATCACAAATTGACAAAGAAATAATCTTCTGTCTTTTAGTTGATCTGGTCTTCCATCGATTCTAAAGCGTGAACTTAGACCTCAGATTGTTTCTATTCTCTTCCCGTTTTTGCATCAGTGTTTGTTTTTTTGTGCTGATACGCACTGCTATGAATGTTATTGTCACTATTATTATTTCTGTCACCAAGCTCTTCATTTTTGCACTTATCAGCATTGTCAACATCATCATAATTCACTCATAATTATTTGAAGAGTCATCACATCTGAACTGACGAGCTGCGAAGATGCTGAGAGGTGGGATGGAGAAGAAAAGAGGAGTAATACAAGATTTATTTTATTGTAGTTATTATGAACAATGACCATTGAAATGAACAAAAAGATTTTCTTCACATTGATAAAACAATCAATCCTCCCATGCTGAGCCTTGTGTTTTCATTTGAAAATGTAAATGTTTTTGAAAGCTTAGGATGTGTGTCGACGCTCTGATGCTTCAGGTCGTTATGATGGACGCCAGCATCCGTATGCTGATTCAGGTGTCTGAGAGGTGTCATAATATCTTCTTATGACATCAAGTCTGAGTCAGCATCAGCAGCTGACCCATACTCATGCTCAGTCACCAGTTTTATGGTTTTCATTCCTCGTCCACCTCTCCTCTTCTTGCATCAACAGGGCAGGATGACCTTTTCTTGCAGCGAGCCCGTTTCAGTCGCCGTGACGTTCACAGACTCTCACGGCTTCCTGCAGCTGCCTGGACTGGCGTCATGGTCATCGGGGCTCGTTTCTGTAACGCTACAGTTCAGGACATGGAACAAGGCAGGGCTGCTCCTGACCTTTGCCCTCCAACAGCAAGAGGGCTCTCTCTTTCTGTACCTGAGTGAAACCAGACTTCGACTTCTGATCAGTACAGCTGACAAGGTTCTCCTGGAGCTCAGCGCAGGCATGTCCAGTTAGAACGTGGATCTACTGTTCTGCACTTGATTTTTCTAAATCTGTTGACCTCAGGTCAGGTATATTTGGGGCTGTTTAGGGCTCTGATGTCACTCAGACACCTTTTGAATGACTAAGGTGGCACATTCTGTCAGCAGGCTGGAATTCAGAGAAATGTCTACTTTAATCTGATCCAAAGTTAAAAAATTCTGCAATGAACGTCAAGTATTATGATATAAATGAGCAAAACATCGAGTTGAACGCTTCGCACGTGTGTGTTTTCTCAGGCTCACGTCTAAATGATGGACAGTGGCATTCTGTGGAGTTGACCTCCGAAGAGAATCGTCTGAGCATCACGGTGGACAGAGACGAAGGAGCCACGGCTCACACCAGCGTCCCACTCTCTCTAACCTCAGACAGTCAGCTCTTCTTTGGCGGTAAGAGACAACTTTTGCTTTTTTTTTTTTTTTTGCTTAATGCATGCAAATAAAATAGACCTGCAAACGAGGACGGAGATTTTCCTAACCTCTAAGAGCCTTCTTGTTCATTTGTAAAATTATTTGTGCAATTAGGTATTTTATTCTGATGTGAAAGATGGGAAAAGTGCTGACGCGGACACTTTAAGCTGGTTAAAACTCATCGAAACGCCGCAATACTGTTCTGTACCACTTCCTTTAAAACCACCGAGGGAGGAATAAAATCACGAAGCTGTTTACGCTCCTCTTTCTCTCTGTTCCCTCTCTCCTTTATAAAGGCTTTGAAGTGATCATTCCCTTTTCTCTTATCCCTTACGTTCTGTTTCACTGCTCCTGTTTCGGAGTCACAGTGTCAGCCATAATTTTGTGCTTTTTTCCCTTTTTATTTCTCCACGTGTCACATAAGTCCATCCCTTTCATTCGCCTCCACACAGGTAAACAAAGGCAAAACGACGTCAGATGAACAGACACTCGTCCCTAAAGTTGCCTACTATGTTGTGTTAACTCATGCTGAACGACGTCTTCCTTTTGTCGCCGCCTTAAGGAAGATGTGACTAAATCTCTTGAGCTCCTTAAATTCAAAGTGACAGTGACAAGTGACTCATCCCCTCCTCCGTTGGGATATTCTGAACTGTATTCCCGATGGACCGACTGGAACTGGAGCAACACGGAGCCTGGAGCAGAAATGCTGTATTTGTCCTCAGCGTCATCAACCAGGATCAAACTAAAGCATGAATGTCTCTCTGACGAATGAGACGAGCTGTTTATTTACAAAATGTGCTCCGCCGCTGCTGCGAGCTAGAATAACGAGAAGCAAACGAAATCAGCTTGTTACGCTGTAGAAAGGAAAATGTATTCATGATTATTTGGTGAGCTGTTTCTCAAATCAAATCAAATTTGAGTAAAAGTTAAAATGTATGTCCACCAGCAGGTTTTAGGTATCTTTGAAAAAGGCAAAGGGGCACATTTAGCTATAAAAAACACTTTAATCCAAACAGAAACAAAATTTTCTTGGTCCCATCCTTTCTTCTAAGCTACAGGTTGACATTTGTTAATTTAAGTGCGAGAATTGTTGCATCTTTTGGCTTCTGCTTTCACTGTTGGGTAAATAATAAGACACCCACCATCTTCATGTCTCGCTGTGAGGACTCTTAGAGAGGTGGCACACGCTTCGGCCACAGATTTCAGTGAGTCAAACTGCACCACGTCTCTCTAACAGGACCAGTGACTGCTTATATTATGGAGGAAGCCTCCGTGCCATCACTTGTAGGTCTCTGAAGAGCTGAATTGAAGCCCATTAGGCAGTTCCCACCACCGCCATCTTGGCCGTGTCACACATCTCGTCTCTCCCGGAAAATACAAAATGGAGCTGAGAGTGTTGCTGTGAGGGTGGGGATAAATGATTGACACCCAACAAACTCTGAGTCGATGTAGCTACGAGCAAACTGAGCTAACCGAGTCTAATGGAGATTGGTGGGTGCTTTTAGCCTGAAAACCGTGGTTTGGTGATTCGGCAACCGTCTGCCTTCAAGGCTGTAACACTTAATGTGAGGCTGAGGCCTTACCTGGTGCAAGCAGTGGGGCAAGTCAGCGCTGATGGCTCATCTGCTGCCTGTCAAGCAACAGGACACGCCCCTAATTATCCATAATTTCTAGCTTTAATTACACCTGAATGCAATGTTGGGAAAGTTCATTTAAAAAACGAATACTTCAAAGTTCAGTTCATACATTTTAAAACAAACTCGTTTCATGATTTAAAAAATTTGAAACTAAGTTCACTGTTCCAAAAACGAACTAGTTCATAGTTCTTTTTTCTCTCTCTCTCTCTCTCTCTCTCTCTCTCTCTCTCTCTCTCTCTCTCTCTCTCTCTCTCTCTCTCTCTCTCTCTCTATATATATATATATATATATATATATAATTATATATATATATAATTATATATATATGTATATATATCTATATGTGTGTATATATATATATATATATATATATATATATATATATATATATATATATATATATATATATATATAATTATATATATATATGTATATATATATATATAATTATATCTATGTATATATATATATATATGTATGTATATATGTATATATATACATATATACATGCATATTTATACATACATATATACATATATAGTGTGTGTGTGTGTGTGTGCGTGCGTGCGTACGTGTGTGTGTGTGTGCGTGCGTGCGTACGTGTGTGTGTGTGTGGGTGTGTGGGTGTGTGGGTGTGTGTGTGCCATCACTGAGATTCAACAGAGCAGTAGTGGTTGAAAAGCGTTTTCGAATCCTGATTAATAATGAGATAATAAATTGTTTTCTTCAATATAACTCAATAACTGATTGAATATTAACCTTTCAAGTATTTTCACAACTACAACAATTATTGTTATTGGTCTGTAGTTATTTGGTTTGCACGAACCACCCCCTTAAATAAAAACACATCTTAGTGCATTTCTACTCCTTTGGAACATAGGAGGTGTCAAATGACAAATTAAAAAGAACTGAGACAAGATATGCAAGAACATCAGAATCTAACTTAATAAACCAATTCTCAGTACCATCGGGACCAGCGGCATTAGTTGAAGAGAGTGTTTTTATGATCTATAATACATCATTGGGAGATATTCTAAGAAGGGAGAATGTACTGGAGCAATTTTGAGGCAAAATACAAATACCTGTAGAAGATACCATCGGTCGTTTGTCGTAGATTTTCTGACACTGTTAGAAAATTATTGAAGGATGACTTTGCTCGTGAGAGTGTTCAACGAGCTGTCACTCAGCCGGTCACACTGGAGAGAAAAACATGCACAGTGCGGTCCAGGCTTAATGCATAAGATCCAACGATGAAAGAAACAGGAAGAATGCAACAAAGATAACTCATTTATACCTGTTTTAGTCTACAGGATTAAGCCCTAATGGATCAACCACTTAAAAAACTGCTTCTATTATGTTGCATCTGTGTAAAACTATCAGATCTGGTCTGTGGCAACTTGTGAATGAGATATTATCTAGAGTTTGAACTTGAGTGGAAGCTGCACTGTTAACAAATGTATTAAAAGCTTTGCTTGGCAGGAAAATGATAGAACTTTTACTCATTTGCATGAACAAAAAGATTTTTGATTTCCAAATGTTTCATGTATTACCGCACGCCTGGTTCTTTATTATGGAACTCCTTTCTGCATTGCCTCACTGCAGCTGACCTTTTAACCTTTTCTATTTTTTTCTAGTTTCCGGATGCATGATGAGTAGGAATACATTCACTGATGAATACAGAAACTGTTTTTATGTGGGTGATGAAGTACCGGTTCATACAAGTTCAGCACACGAGATGGAGGTGGGCTATGTGTGCTTAGAAGTGATCTTTATTAGCTGTGAGGAGAGAAAACCAATCCCAAGCTGAAAGAAATAAGATGTGGCGAAGAACCACGAGCCAGGGATCAGACCCAGCCAGCTCTGAAGGAGACTTTCAGCCTCTAACCATTTGGCGCTCACTCAACCACCTGAGCTACTTAATGCTCTGATTTTAGATTTTTCGGGTAGAAAATAAAAATAATCATCTGAAGTGTAATTCTGTGTCAGCAAATGATTCCATTCAGGGAATGCCACATGGAGGAGAATGCAATCACTGGCGGGGTTTCTGTCCCCAGGTTGTCCTGATCAGAAGTGCAGGAATCCGTTCCGAGGGTTCCAGGGATGTTTGCGCCTCGTGTCTCTGAACGACCAACCTGTCGACCTGATTAAAGTGCAGAGGAGACTGCTGGGAAACTACAGTAACCTGCAGATTGATATGTGTGGCATCATTGACAGGTCAGTGGGGTAACTTGTGTCACCAGGGCATTTTCAAAATAAAATCAGTCAATAATCAATAGTGGGGCTTTGAGGGGAAATCACGCTGAATAAAATCCAATCCAATCCAATTTTATTTATAAAGCGCATTCACAAGGCATTACAGCCAAACAAGGCGCTGTACACTAAAAATGTTAGTTAATTAAACCGGCGTTATACAAACATGTCGAACACAGATAAAAGATAAAAAGGAAATACAACAAAATTCCCAAAAATAACAGCTAAAAATCAATAAGACACAGGGTGAATAAAAATTAGAAAAAACATTTTAAAAAAGAACCTCAATAGTACGGAAGTCGATAATTATGGAGTCCATTTTTAAACAGTGCAGATGTAAGTGAGGTTCATAATTATGTGGTATAAGCTAGGTTGAAGTAGTGAGTTTTCAAGCGTGATTTAAAAATGCTAGCTGTTGGTGCTAGCCTCACTAGCAGTGGTAATGCGTTCCACAGCTTCGGTGCACAGACAGAGAAAGCCCTTTCTCCACGGCTTTTTAAATGTGCATTCGGAACAGCTAGGAGGAGCTTATCTTCAGACCTGAGAGCACGCGGCGGGTTGTAGTAATGGACAAGTTCACACAGATATGGAGGAGCTTGATGGTTCAAGGATTTGTAAGTGAGAAGCATAATTTTGAAGTTTATCCTGAACTGCACGGGCAACCAGTGGAGAGATTTCAGAATTGGAAAATGTGTTGTCTTCTGTCAGAAGACTGACAGAAGACAACACTAAAAATGCACTAAAGTGTATAACTTAGCATTAAAGGTGCAATATGTAAGAGTTTTACAGTGAAAAAAACAGTCTAATGGTGGAAGGAAGGTTAGACTGAAACAAACCCTTAGACTCATATTATTTTGCACTAGCATAGGTTTAATCACTCTTCTTCTTTTTTAATAACACTTTTAACCATTTCCTGTTCATGAAAGTTTTTGTATGTTTTAAATTGTTTGCCTGATGAAGGTGTTGTACTCCTAACAACACATTTCCAATGCATGTAAAACATTTGCAGGTTTGTTTTTGCTCTTTCAGTCTCATGAACTCGACATCCTCCTTCTTTTTAATTTTGCTCTTTCAAATCCCCTTTTTCTGTTTGTGCAGTGACCATCAGTGTTAGCCACACAACAGAAACTGAAAATGATTATTCATCTTTTTTCACTTTTGGGAGATTTGGTGTGTTTTCCGCTGATGAAATTTCAATGAAATGTGAAGAGAAACGAAGGTGCCCCCAAGGGGTGGCCAGGAGGGGCCATGGTCACCCCTAGAAAATTGCCCCCCCAGTGTTAATAAATCATATTAATGTTTAGTCAAACCATAAATTGATCTGGTTTATTCAAGACATAGTTGTAAAATGAAATAAAAAATAATACAGTTAATGAGTAAAGAAACAATCAGAATAAAAAATTACATATGTTTCTGCCTTTTACCATTTTTAAAAAGTTTTTATCTCCATAGATTTTTATGAACACAGCAACAGGTGAATTAACCTAAAAAGATACATTTTAAAATAAAATTTGAAGTAACTGAAATTTATTTATCTGAAATGTTTGTAAAATTTGAGTTAAATGTTTTGGATTTATACTGTCTTTTTTAAAATAAAAACAAATAAAGGAGCAATGCAGTACATCGCCACAGGCCAAACTCTCCCAGAGTTACCACAAGGACCAATTTGGTGGGCCACCCCAAAATGTATTTGGCCCCATCTGGCCACCCCTATCAAAATTTTCTGGAGGCGCCCCTGAAGAGAAAATGACTAAAGTGCTGCGTAGATTTTGTTTCTTTGTTCTGAGTTGATGGGCTGATTGTAACAGCAGAGGGAACGGGTCTCACAAAGAAAACTTCAGTCTTGTTGCATCCCTCATCTTATTGAAAGTTAACTTTTAGCATGGGTGTGGGTTCTCACACCTTCACGACTTTGGGCTGGAGTTTGAACATTTTTCCTAAAGCAAAGTTAGTGCAGGTAAATGTTGCCTGAGGCTAAAGTGTGTGTGCGAGAGTGTGGTTATAGTTTCACTCCCAAGAGCAAAAATAGTATGGTTTCCCAGCTTGGTGTTCTCGATGGGTTGGAGTTCGTTTACTGCTGCAGTGATTGCTAATGCCTGCTTGTAAACATGTTGCATTAAGTAACCTGTAACTCTCCATGCCCACAGGCTCATATTCAAATCCAATTTCCTGAACAGTGCCCTATCATTATCATCAACAACAGCAACAATCAATCAACCCTTGCTTCTGGCATGTTTGTTTATAGATTTATGAGCCAAGGGACGTACGTTCATGTATCGACAGCTGCCCTTAAGAGAGGAGCAGCTTTTCTCAGAGCCAAGTGTTCAGGAATTATTTTGTTCACTGAGGAATAACGTTTTCCTCATGGAGATCTCTGAGAGCTGTTATCTGCTTCAGCCGGTTGCCGAACCGTTCTGGACTTCCACCACAGGGCAGAAAACAACTTACAGCAAGTCATGAATGAAAAGCCTGAGTTTTTTATTCACAGAGAGCAGTTCGGTGCAACAATCTCTGTCGGGTGTGCGAGTGTGAAATTCTCCTCCAGGTCAAGATGTTTTTCATGTGAAGCAGCACAAGCTGTTAAACTGAAAGGACAGTTTGTGCACTCAGATAATCTCCTCTCACAAGCGCACATGAACTCTTTAAAGGATTTTTATGGAAGTGAAGCGTTGTTTTCAATGGGTGAAAAGGAAATGTGTGTTTATGATTAATGCTGTTAGAAATGGTAATCAATACATTAATGGCTGTTGGTTTGAAATGATTTCTGTGTTTTCTTCTGCAAATTTTTCCTGCAAATTATTACAAAAAGAAAAACAACAGAAAACTATGCAATTATGCACTGAAGTAAAAAGGCCCAACCACCAGCCGAGCACTTGGAGTTTATTGACACTAACACTGCAGTTTCATTCATTGCAATCTTTAATAAACTTGCAGCAGACTCTTGGATATTTCAGCCTCCAATATTCAATTTTCTCTGGTATCAAAACAACACAGGAGTCTGTGCAGCAGCTAAAACCAGTTGTCTGTTGTTTTGGTCACATGTCTGTAGGATTTTGAATGTGGTGGCTCTCCCTAAAAAACAGATTTTAAGGGATTTGAAATGGATAAAAACTGATTGGGTCTAGAATAGAATAGAATAGAATGGAATAGAATAGAATAGAATAGAATAGAATAGAATGCCTTTATTGTCACTATACAGGTGTAAAGTGAGTGTGTGTGCGTGTGTGTGTGTGTCTTGGTCAGAAGCCGAGCACAGGCATTCTGAACCACCTGTAGACGGTTCAGGGAGGTTCTGCTCAGACACGTGAAAAGAGAGTTACAGTAGTCTAAGCGTGAGGAGATGAAGGTGTGGAGAACTGTCTCAAGTTCAGAGCGGGACAGAATGGGACTCAGCTTAGCAACGTTCCTGAGATGGAAGAAGGAAGAGCGAACAAGAGAAATGACATGAGAATCCAGGGTGAGAGCTGGGTCAAAGGTCACGCCAAGATTCCTGACGGAAGGTTTGGTGTGAGAAGCAAGCGGACCAAGAGAGTCTCTGACTTTGGGAACCAGCTTGTCTGGGGCACAGATGAGGATCTCAGTCTTATCTTCGTTCAGCTGAAAAAAGCTCCCAGCCATCCAGGTTTTGATAGTCTAAGCAGGTGTGTAACAGCTGCAGCTTAGACATCTCATGGGGCTTAAAGGAGATGTACAGTTGGATGTCATCTGCATAAAGATTGTATGAGATTCCTTTAAAGGAGCTCAGGATGTGCTGAAGAAGGAGTAGATAGAGGAGGAAGAGTAGAGGCCCCAGCACAGAACCTTGTGGGACACCATGGGTAAGAGAGGTGGTGGAGGACCTAAACTTGGAGACGGCCACAGAAAAGGAGCGCTCAGAGAGATAAGAGGAGAACCACTCCAGAGCAGTTCCTGATAGGCCTACCCAGTCTCTCAGCCTCTCCAGTAGCAGGTGATGGTCAACAGTGTCAAAGGCTGCAGTCAGGTCCAGCAGGACCAGAACAGAACAGTCCCCTTCATCACTGTGAGTCAGAAGGTCATTAGAGACCCTAAGAAGAGCTGTTTCAGTAGAATGAGCTCTACGAAAACCTGACTGGAAGCTATTATAGATGTTATGTTCATCAAGAGCAGCTGTGAGTTGTTTAGTCACAACCTTTTCCAAGATCTTGGAGATGAACAGAAGTTTAGAGATGGGTCTGAAGCTGCTATGGAGAGAGGGGTTGAGACTCGTTTTTTTAAGAAGCGAATGGATTACAGCATTTTTAAAGTAAGCAGGGACCTGACCAGAAACCAGAGAAGCATTAATTATAGAGAGCACGCTGGGACCGATGGACTGAAAAGCACTTTTAAACAAAGATGAGGGTAAGATGTCGAGGGGGCATAACACCACAGCATCCAGATTGATGCTGTCCCTGTGGGCTGATCTGCCAATGGGAGGCTCAGCCTAATGGTAGGTGTGATTTTGAGCCAGCCAATCAGCCGGCAGTGGGTGTGTCAGCCCGGTTCGACTCCAGGCAGACCTCTTTGGGAAGAGGGCTGAAAAGACGTCCAGTTGTGCGTGGGAAAATCCAAGACTACCTGAATGAGAACAATCCCAACCTGATCCAGGCGGAGTGTAGCTATTGTGTAAGGGCCATAAATATAGACGTCAGTTAACATCTTTGAGGTCAATAACAAGTTTTTCAAAAGAAACCAAAAGCACATAATCGAGAGCTCTTCCACATCAAGAGGAGCCAGTTTAGGTGGCTCGGACATCTGGTAGGAGGCCTTGTGGACGCCTCCCTGGTGAGGTTTTCCGGGCACGTCCAACTGGGAGGAGACCCAAAGGAGACCCAGGACAAGCTGGAGGGACTATGTCTCTTGGCTGGCCAGGGAAAGCCTTGGGATTCCCTCGGAAGAGCTGGCCCAAGTGGCTGGGGAGAGGGAAGTTTGAGCCTCTCTGCTTAGGCTGCTATGCAGCTATGATGTAATGCACCTTTCATTTATTACTGTATTCATACATACTCATTTCCGGCCGCTTGTCTGGGGTCGGGTCGTGGGGGCAGCAGCCTGTGGGAGGTGGGAATTGAAACTTCTTCTGACAGGAGACTGCTGGACATTTGCAGTAGACCCTCACAACACGTTTAGGCCTGCCAGGTCTGACAGGCATCGAAGCCAACCCACAACCAGGTAGTGGTCAGTTGACAGCTCCGCCCCTCTCTTCCTCCAAGTGGCCAAGACCTGTAATCTATTTTTCATGCTTTTTTTTTTTGTTTGAGTTACTAAAAATATATATTTGCATGTACAAAATGTCAATCAGTACCAAATAAAACCCTCTTTAGAGGGAATAAAACATGTGTGTAAAGCACAAACTGTAGAAACTTAGTTTCAAAACATTATCCTTCAGTTTTCTCCTCATCTGAAAACTTTGTTCATTGTTAATTTATAAATATCTTTTTCAAGACCATTTTACAGAGAGCTAGTGTTCCTCTCCTCTTTACTTCCTGTCTCTCAGGTGTTCCCCCAGCCACTGTGAACATGGAGGTAGATGCACTCAGTCTTGGAGCACGTTCCACTGTAACTGCTCCAACAGTGGCTACAGAGGAGCGACCTGCCACAGCTGTGAGTACAAGAAAATCAATAAATTCTTCCTTGAACATTTTACATCAGCTGATGTTAAAGCCAAAGGGGAAAACATACTTTTAAATTAATCTTTCAGAAATAACAGACACAGGAATGTTTAAAAATGTCTTTTTAAACTTATACCAGCTGTCAGCTGTTCATTTTGTCATCCTCTCAAGAGATGAACCAAAGTCCTTTTATTTAGAGCACATTTATTTCTTAAACATTACATCTAATATGACAGGAAATACAAACTTAAGTTCTTAACTGGGATACAGCAGACTAATGTTGTGCCTGGAACTGCAACTGAAAGGAAAAGATGCTTCATCTGAAAGTCTCAATATGTTAGAGAGCAAAGAAAAGCAGCTAGAAAGTCTGAATATTTGCTAAATCTTACGGGTTTGAGTTGATTCCAACCAGTTTCTTCCACACGTAATCTTTTATTGATTCAGTGTGTCTGTGCATAGGGAGGAGAGGGACTGATGCAACGTGAGTGTGTGTGAGTGTGTGCGTGCGTGCGTGTGTGTGTGTGTGTGTGTGTGCGTGTGCGTGTGTGTGTGTGTGTGTGTGTGCATGCATGTGTGTGAAAGAGGGAGAGAGACTGAGCAGGAAAAGTTGAGTCGTGTGCAACTCTACAGGGAAAAAACAACTTATGCTAAAATGTTATTGTATTGTATTAATATTTATTTAATTTATTTTATTTTACATTTAAATAATAAAGATTAAAGTCCCATCAGGTGTCACACACACAATGGTGTGTGGTAAATGTTGACCCATCCTCGAGGGGAGCAGTGAGCTGCAGACACGGCCGCACTCTGGAACTATTTAGTGGTTCAATCCCCCCAATCCAACCCCTTAAAACTGAGTGTCAAGCAGACAGGCATTGGGTCCCAGTTTTTAAACGTCTTTGGTAGGACCAGCTCAGTCATTCTCCTGACCCGGCCGTGCTCCTTTAGCTTTAGCTTGGCATAAAACACAGTAGGGAAATGGATCCAACTAGCATTGTGAGCAGAAGGACCTGCAGAGTCATTTCCAAACAACTGAACTCCACATCCCTAGACTGGTTTCAAGAAAAGCAGATTTCATCCAAACAATAACAAAAGATCATACTGAGAAACAAAGTCTGACAAATGCAATGCCTAATTATCTTGTCCCAGTTATAAAATTAAAACCAACATCTCTTCCCAAATTCTCTGGAAACAAATGTGATTTCCATAGGTGGAAAAAGGATTGGTGAAGCTCTACAGCGACAAGGAGAACCAACTGGGTCCAAAGAGGTGAAAAAGGTCCAATTACTGAACAGCATTGAGAACTTCTTCTCACCATGTACAATTCTACAGAAGACATCTTTTGTGTCTTAGCGAACCGGTTTGGAAATGAAGCATCCGTTGCTATTGAAACAGTGGAAGAATTGCAAAGATTGCCAGCAGTTAAAGGTCATCAGCCAAGGAAAATTGTGGAATGAATTCAAACTGTAGAGAAAGCACTCCAAGACTTGAAAGACCGTTGGAACACAGGTGCCATCAGAAACCCTCTTGTAACTAAGTCCATAGAAAGTAAGCTTCCAGAAGTGCTTAAAAAAGAGTGGCTAATCTATGCAGCTGACAACGTTGTGGTTCCAGATAAACGATTTGACGGTCTTTTGGCATTTCTCAAAGGGCAAGAAAGCATATACGAGCAGCTAGAGCAACTGTGGGATGAAGAGCTGGCCGGAAAGGTCACCAGACCTGATCTGAAATACACCCAGACAAAGTCAACCAACAGTTACAAACCAGGTTATGTGGTTTGTGGCGATGGAGGCCACAAAAGAAAACTTTATTTCTGCAAGCAATTCTTTAAAAGTAATCTGTTTTACTAAGAGTAATGCATTACCTGCAGACTTATGGAGACTGAAGTTTGGTCTCAATGTGAAATGCTTCTTAACAAAAGTAGCTTGCTCAGTGAAACATAATGTAGAACGAAAGTGTCACTCCATCCACAGGGGACTGCCGAAGAAGGAACAAGGGGATTGCATCCTGCTGTAGATGAAAGTAACACTTTTCTCTCTCTTCAAAGAGAAGGCATCAAACAAGTCTTAACTTTTCTTTTTCCTCTTGACTTAAAGACTAAAGTACCAAGGATTTCTAAGTGATTAAAACAGTGTTTTTTATTTTATTTTAAATCTTATTTTTATGTTAAGTTGGTAAATGAAGTTGGTGTCTTTTTATAAATCACCAAAAACATCAGCAGTCATTCAGAAATGTAGATTTTGTTAAGAATATATTTAACTAGTCGGGACTGTTCAAGATTAAAAAAAAGTTTCAATACAATATCAATAAAGTTTTGTTTTTTATAGAATAGAAATTTACTCGTGGTTCTATTTCGCTGGACAAACGACTTTTAGAAATTCTGTTTTTTATGAAGTAGCTGAGATGGAAGATTACAAAACCTGAAGGCAAGCCGGTCTTTTTCATTTATGAGTATTTGATTTGTATTTGTCAAAAAAAAAATAAAATGCACAGATCGGGTTTGTACTATTTCTTCATCCAGGTCATGGTAGTCCAAAGAGGTCCAAATGGCGGCAACTGGACCTCTTTGGTGCAATTTGCAATTTCTCTGTAAACGACTTCATTTAAGGGCATTCGTTCTTGGCTATGGAAGAGTAAAGGTAGCGTTCCTTGTGTTTAAACCACGTTGCTTACAGGTCGGTAACATCTTTGTAAACAAGCTAAAAGGCTTGTGTAAAGCCCACATTTTGGACTTATAAACTGTAGCTGTGTGCTTTTGCTTAACAAGCTGAAACTACCTATGAATAACCCCCTTTCCTACCCCCGAGGAGTAGTTGGAGTCGTTAGCCACGTTTGTGCGGGGGGGGGGGGGGGGGGGATTGTTTAGATTAGATACAGGAGGGTGTGGCCTGGACTGAATCTGAAATGGCAGCTAACATTCTGTCATGTTTTCTTCCTCAGCTAAATACGAACAGAACTGTGAGATGTACAAACACAAAGGCAACGCCTCAGGACACTATTACGTAGATGTGGACGGGAGCGGACCAATCAAACCTCAGCTCGTTTACTGTAACATGACAGGTGAAACACAGACATCCTTTTTCATTCGACGCTTGCACACCATCTTCTTCAGTTTGAGTTTGCTATTTTTTCTTTGTCCATCCCCCTCTCTCTTCTACCCCAGAGGACAAGACGTGGGTTGTGATCCAACACAATAACACGGAACTGACGAGTGTTCAGGCCTCTGCTGACAGAAACCAACTCTCTGCCCACTTTGACTATTCTTCTGAGGAGGAGCAGCTAGCAGCTGTCATTGTTCAGTCAGATTATTGTGAGCAGGAGCTGTCCTTCCACTGCAGGAGGTCCCGCCTCTTCAACACTCTGGGTAAGGTCTGGGGAAAAGGCTCATTGACATTTTATGTTTAATGTATTGAGCTGGCATAGGAAGCTGAGATATTTGGGGGTAATTGTATTGTTCAGCTTTTCTGCTGAGTGTGTTTGTCGGAGAGGAAATGTCACTGGAACGGCTGGAGGCAACTTCTTTGCTAAGCAAGCTTTTCTCCATCTGTGGGATCTATATCTGAAACCAGGACAGAATAATGCAAAGTGCTGATTTAGTCAAACAGGTTACTAATTAAAACAATTCAGTTGTGTATTAGCTCAGCCTTAGGTGCAGTTAATAGGTTAGCCAATCATCGGTTGCATTGGTGTTGCATCTTTTTATTAGCTTTTGTTTAAAAAAAATGACTTGGACAAAATTAAGTCACTCAAATAAAGCAAACCATGGTAATTATTTTAGCTCTACTCGGGAATGACAGATATTTGGGGCAAAGAGTGAGGTATAAGCAGGGTTCCAATTATGGGGAAGCTAGGAGGAGCCTGGCTCCCCCAAAAGGATGATGGGCTCCCCCAAAAATGTTCAAGTTTTAATTGATATTACATTTTTTTATATGGACTCTTGGTTACCTGAACTTCTGTCAAGCGTACCGTGTGTACTGCACCTTTTTCGGCCAGTAATCAGTCAAGTTCTCATTGCTTCACATTCCCGCCACACGCCTCTCTTACCCAGACACCTGACACGCAGCCTTTGTAAATAATTTATAATTCATCTGCATACAGTTCTGTTGTCGCAGAAATAACTGCTTTTGTTGTTTGCATGTGTGTTATGTCTGTGTTTAAGATGGTGCTCCGTTTAGCTGGTGGGTGGGCGGTCCAGGCTCGGGTCAGATCCAGAACCACTGGGGAGGAGCTCTGCCCGGCAGCCGCCAGTGTGCATGTGGTCTGCAGGACAACTGTCTGGACTCCAGTTTCTACTGCAACTGTGATGCTGACTATGACCAATGGTAACTCTTGGATGCTCTATTTAACCACTGGATAGATTTTAGTCCCATTATCTTATTAACAACATTGTTAACAACCCTGCTGTGGCTAGCACTAGCAATGAGCTGATACTAACATGAAGCAGCTAATACTAAAATAAACCACAAAGTAAAATAATTCACACTATTGGACAAAAATATTATTACTTACAAGTCCAGTAGCAACAAAGCCAGGTCATCATCAGTCCGTGAATTTTGAATCCTCCTTTAGCTCCCTCGAAATAGCGCTGGGCAAGCTGATGTTTTGCAGATGTTTACTCTGGTTTTAGCTCTTTGTTTAGCCTCTAAAGACATTATTCTCTGCATTTACTTCCAGGCTCTGTCATGATGCCAACATCAAAAGCAAATTTATTTTTTTTCTTCTTCTTGTGCTTTTTATTGATGATCGATGAACTGAAAATGCTAATTGCTAGCATTATAGCTAAAAACTGTAGATCAGGTAAAGAGCACCCCCTAGAAAACCACTCCACAAAACTATCTAGTGCGTTTTTTGGTCAGTAGAGGGCTGCAGAGTGGTGTCAAATATGAAACTAGTCAAGTTTCCAACCCAACAATCACTGAGATCAATGTTAAAGCTCTAGCTCAAAGTAAAAAAAACAAACACCTATCTATTGTTACTTTAACTGGGAAAAAACCCTAAAATAATTAAAGGAGAGGATGTTTTATTTTAAAATGCAAAGATAGTTTTTGATTGCTTTTTGGTTAATTTAGAGGATACTCGCAATATGTTCAAATAGATAAAAAATGAGAATTTTCTAATTTTAATCTGGTGGTTTGTTTCTGAATAGTTAAAATTACTCCTTGTTCACAATTTATCTCATTAGACACAAAAGCTCAAGATGAAGCATTTTTGTTAGTAACATTGCTGTTTGATGTTTTTGCTCTGCTCAGTTTTAACAATGAGTCGAATTTGCGTTCACTGAAGACAGCTGCGCTTGTGAGAAAAGCATTGTACTGAATACTGAACCCTGTGGATCCCCATGACCATAACTCGGTGTGCGGAGGCCTCACTGTTTACAAAAATAATTTATATTTCACTTGAACATAAACTCTAAGGAATAAATGAGGAATCATAAAAAAACTATTTATCATTCCAAATGTTTTAAGTCATTCAAGCTAAGCCTTAAAGAAAGATGACTCAACAGAACGATGATTTCTCCTTTTTTGGAATTCTTTGTGTGCAAAAAAATTCCCATGAATTTATAGAACTACATCTTTGCAGGTTTTGGAAAGTGTGCTATAAAATACTATTAACTGGAGTTTGCATGTGTAATACCGTAAAAAGATGGTTAAAAAAGTGAAATTGTTTTTGGCCACTTTAAGGAAAAAATAACAGGAAAAGCTGTGTATGGTTTTTGAAGCACTCGTACAATAAGATGCTGAAAATATCACAAAATGTGTTTTTTAACAGACATCTTCTTAAATTACCGACTTTGTAGAATCAATGACAGTCTTCTGGCTGTCTTATGGGCTCGACACACGGGAGGCGACATCGCCTTTCCTCCATTCATTTTCAAAGAGACATGCACGACAAAGCGATAATCGCGGGTCTCCCTCCTACTAAGCGAAACGCAAAGAACGTGCGCGTGAAATTTTGCGCTCGTGCACGTGTCGTGCACGGACGACCCAGCGACGCGATCACAGAAAGTTGAAAAATTTTCAACTTTTCATCGCTGTCGCTCGGACGAGGACCAATCAGCGGAGGTTTCATTCTCTGACCAATGAGCGGACAGGATGCTCCATACATCTCTGAGCAAACACGAAGGTGAAATTGATTATTATTATGTTTTATATAGTAAAATCAGAAGTAAGATTTCACATAACTCTAGCAGCACCTTGTAAAACATCATATCTACCACTTTATTAACTCTGAACTGCTTAAATAACCTTAATTCCCTCCAACAGCCAAACAAAACAACGGAAGTTTCAATTTCGCCATGGAACAGAACGCGTAGACGGCTTTGCCGCTGGCCGCTGCCGCGGATCGTCTCCCGTGTGTCTAGCCCATTACGGGTCCTTAATTAGATATAAATTAAGTTCTTTTACACCTGCAACAAATCCCGAGACGTTTAAACATTCTCTTTCCAATCTTACATTTAATTCCTTTTATTCAGAGTCGAGCACGCTTCGTCACTCCTGCTCCAGATGTGCGTTAGGACTCAGTTTCCTACTCTATCCAGCATACCAAAAGAGTCTTCTTTCTATCATCTTTCAACCTGAATCCTAAACGTTAAGTGCACAGACTGTCTCCTGCCGTCGATAACTCATTCATTCTCCTCGTGTCAATAACTCATCAGATTCAACCGCACCGTGTGGTCCTGAATTATAAGTTTAACAATATTTTGCGGCATTGAGGCAGACTTCTAGGATCTAAAATATCCTAAATGTGTGCAGCTAAATGTGCATATGAATCACTCAGAAAATCTTTGAATGAAGACATTTTCTTTCTCCACTCTAGGGCTGATGACTCGGGCCTGCTTACCCATAAGGACAACCTACCGGTCAGGTCTCTGGTGCTGGGTGACCTCCAGCGACCGAGATCAAAAGCTGCCTACAAGGTGGGACCTCTGCGTTGTCATGGAGACAGTAAGTCTCTGTCAGCCGCATGCTTTTTTTGCACGTGGCTGCTGATAAATGCTGGCACTGCTGAGATTATTACACATAGGGATGATTTATTAGAATATAATTCAGGTAATAAGTTTTTTTCAGACATATAGTGAGTGGAATCCTGGTGTTCACTGCTTTTCACCATTTAACTTGTTAATGAAAAACTGGACAGCAATAAACTACACAAGCTAATTAGAAGAGCCACAGCTAAAATATGACTCCCCTTGCTCCTTAATAACAGCCACTAATGGGGGGAAATGCTAAATAAATTAAAATTATATATATTACTTAATTTAATTACTTATAATTTCAATATTGGGTTTTACGATTAGATAAATAAACACCTGAAGATAAATCAACATAAATGAGATAGCATAGCTGGAGTCGAGCCTTTGTTCTCACCTAATTAGCTGAACAGTTGGTTCATTTGTTTACTACATGGTTTTCATTATACAGCCGTCATAATGAGCTTTCTTTAATGAGCTTTTGTTCCAGAGTGATGCATCTGGAGTCTAGAAAAAAAGTTTTACAATCCATCGTGTTGGAGAACAAGAGAAGCGTACCGAGCTATTGGAAGCTTCTCAGCTTTTCTGTTTTGCAGAGAACTTCTGGAACGCTGCGTTTTTTGACAAGGAAACGTCCTATCTTCACTTCCCAACGCTTCAAGGGGAGCTGAATGCAGACATCTCCTTTCTGTTCAAAACAACTTTCTCCTCTGGGGTCTTCCTTGAGAATCTCGGCATCAAGGATTTCATAAGAATAGAACTCAGCTGTAAGTAACACCCCTACAAAGTTTTACCTCATTGATGAAATAGGCTTTTTTTCACGCAAACATTGCATCATGAGACAGTATTATGTTTTGTTTTGTTTTTAATTTTGGATGCTTGAGCAGGACATGTGGGCAGAATTAGCTTCAAAGCTGTAATCCCCAGTTTACCCCCCTTTCAGGAATTATGTATGACTGTTTTAAACATTTGTAAAAGTGATTGTCTTACCCTGTACTGTGATGTAATGCAGGCAACACATCATTTTTGCCCCTGTCCCATAGAGCCCTATGCGCCTTTCAGCATTAGCTAATAGTGTTAGTCATCTGCTAATATTCATTCAATCACAGAGCGTTTGATTGGTGCCAAGAGAGTTGGCAACATTTCTTATGGACAATAGTCTTAAAAAATTATATATATATATATATATATATATATATATATATATATATATATAGATAGATAGATAGATAGATAGATAGATAGATAGATAGATAGATAGATAGATAGATAGTTAGATAGATAGATAGATAGATAGATAGATAGATAGATAGATAGATAGATGATAGATAGATAGATAGATAGATAGATAGATAGATAGATAGATAGATAGATAGATAGATAGATAGATAGATAGATGATAGATGATAGATAGATAGATAGATAGATAGATAGATAGATAGATAGATAGATAGATAGATAGATAGATAGATAGATAGATAGATAGATAGATAGATAGATAGATAGATAGATACCTCCTCTAAATCCAAGACCATGGTCTTGAATTGGAAAAGGGTAGAATGCATTCTTCAGGTCACAGATGAGGTCCTGCCGCGGTTTTGTTCATAAGGCAGCGTGAGGAAGGCTGCAGCGTGAGATCTATAGGCAGATTGGTGCTGCGTTTGCAGTGATGCGGATGTGGTGAAGAGAGAGCTGAGTCGGAAGGTGAAGGTCTCGATTTACGGGTTGAGCTACGTTCCTACCCTCACCTATGGTCACGAACTTTGGATAGGGGACAACAGAACGAGGTCACGGATACAAGCGGCCGAAATGAGCTTTCTCCGCAGGGTGGCTGGGCTCTCCCTTAGAGGCAGGTTAAGAGGCTCGGTCATCTGGGAGAGGCTCAGTGTAGACTCGCTGCTCCTCCACATCCAGAGGAGCCAGTTGAGGTGGTTTGGGCATCTGGACGCCACTCTGTTGAGGTTTTCCAGGCACGTCCAACCGGGAGAAGGCCTAAAGGGAGATCCGGGACAGGCTGGAGGGACTATGTCTCTCGGCTGGCCAGGGAGCGCTTTAGGATTCCCCCAGAAGTGCTGGCCCAAGTGATAAATGATAATAAATGACCCGCACTTGTATAGCGCCTTTCAGAGTCAGAGGGCTCCAAAGCGCTTTACACTACAGTGTATCATTCATCCGTTCACACACACATTCCTACAGTGATGGGGATGAGCTACATTGAAGCCACAACTACCCTGGGGTGCGGTGACAGAGGCGAGGCTGCCGAGCACAGGCGCCACCAGTCCCTCTGACCACCACCAGCAGGCGAGGTGGGTTAAATGCCTTGCCCAACAACAAAATTCTCTGTCCAAAGCCGGGATCAAACCTGCAACCAAGTGGATGGTGAGAGGGAAGTCTGGTCTTCTCTCCTCTGCTGCCCCCGTAACCCAACCTCGGATAAGCGGATTTGAATGTATGTGTGCATATATATACAGGGCTCTTCTCAGCAAGGTTCCACGGTGGCGGGCCGCCAGCGTGGAACCGTCATTTTATACTGTGGTTTTTTGTGTTTTTGATCGCCCCTGTGCTTAAAAATCCCCATTGTAAAATATTGCGTCTCGATTACGGACATATCTCGATTACCCGGGTGACCGAGACTCGCTGCCCCATTAAGCAGAAAAATGGCGAAACGAGCAGGCGAGAGCACGGCGAAAATCACCCTCGACCCATCTCGATGTAAGTGTAATTTCATCTTTGATCCTTCCAGATCGATAAAAAAGATTTTTTTTTTGTTTAGTAAAGTTTTTGCTCGCTATTATTTCCTAATTTTCTTAAACATGTGCAGCACTACAAGTGTTTACCTAGACGCTGCTCACGTAATGGATGTAAACAGTTAAAGAATGGGTTCGTTCTTACTGCATGCCTCCAAAGACAGGTCTCTGTGACTCATTCATGTTTTAGCAACGGGTGGTTTATCCCTTGGGTCCACGTGGCAGGGGTGAGGAGTGAGCACCGCCTCACCCTGCCACATGGACCCAAGGGATAAACCATCAATCCTGCTCAATGGCTAACTTTTCTCGTGGGGTCACCCATAAAGATAGTGGGAGGGTTAATAATAATAACAATAATAATAATGAATAGAAAGTGCTTCTTTCTGGCTCGAGACATATCTCCTAGATCCTGAAACAGGCGCACCAGGGCTTTTTCCCCCAGAGTACGACTTACAAGGCATTCATCCCTACTAGACGCCCCTGCAAATGTACTGATTGATCTGAATGTCCTTTGTTTTGTTTGTCAAATGAACTAAAGTCATTTCATAAATGTGTTGCTATCAATAATTAATGCAAGAAAAATGGGAACTAATAACTTGGCATTTTCAGGTGGTCCAGGATCATATTGTCTCACTGTTGTGCCTTTGGGTTTGACACGTTCCTGACCTTTTACGTGAACAACAAAATCATACATTTGCATGAAAATGTAAAAAGTGAAACATTTCTTTCCACAATAATTTTGAGTATCAGATTAGAAATTGTTTTTACCTCTTCTGTACATTTAGTGTTTATTCAGGTTGGATAAATAGCTGGAGTGTGATATGAATTAAAGTTTTTGGATTTGATTAAAATAATCTCAACCTATATTTTATGTTATTTAATCAATTTCCCTCTGGGATTAATAAAGTATTTTTGAATTGAATTGAATTGAATTTCAATCATTCACACACAGGTGACCCACAGAAACAACAAACAAACAAAAAACACACCAACGTTGCTCCTCCTCCATGAGGATGCCTTCTTAAACAGCTCAATGTTGTGAAATCACCACCCTGATGTTATTGTGACAGCTGGATTGAGATGTATCTGGATTATTATCACTCCTATGTCTGGAGCCAGAAAGAAGCACTTTCTATGCCTCTTGGTGTGTATTTGTGTGTGAGTGTGTTTTAAATCTATCCAACATCAGCCATTTCTCTACCTCTGAAGGAATGGGATTCTTTTTTTATTTTATTTTCTGTTTGAAGATGCAGTCATCACAACTGATGTCTCTCTCTGTGGTGTATTAAGTTCCCTTTTTTATGTTTCAGCCTTTAAGGGTGTTTTTGCTCATGTCTCATCAATAGTTTTTCTGTTTTTAATAAAAAATAATCAGTCAGCCTAGAATTATGAGGAATATTATTATTGTCTGACTCAGGTGTGAATTTTGGGGGATCAGGACAAATACCGGGGGAGGTAAAAATACTAAATCCTAAAAGGCTTGCAGTCAAACCTGTAGTGATGAAACACATCTTTGACCAGCTCATACACTGTAAATGTGTGTGTGTGTGTGTGTGTGTGTGTGTGTGTGTGTGTGTGTGTGTGTGTGTGTGTGTGTGTGTGTGTGTGTGTGGATTTATCCAATAAAAATTCCACTCTGGGTTAGTACTTCCACAATAAAATATTGTTTTGTTGACCATATAGACAGACAGACACAGATTAGGAGGGGTGGGGGATAACAACTGAGCCTGCAGTCTTTCTTTCCTGCCCCAGGCCGGTTGGTAATCACTACAGGTTTGTGTCCAGCTCTCTGTCCATGCAGCCAACAGATAGGTCTGTGGGAGGCCTTCGGTTTCTGCTAACTAATGATGGAGTAAAAACAACTAACTAATGCGTTTATTGAAAAATGCCAGTCTGGATTCAAACATTCACAGTTGAAAGAAATTGTATTTTTTTATTATTACAGTAAAATATCTCACTTAAAGGCCAAGTTCACTGAGAAACAATTTTTTGCTTGATATTTTTTAAATATGATTTGTGTAACACACAAGCCGAACGTAAAAATAGTCTTCTACGCCTATTTCCTGTGTTAGTCCCCAATTTTAAATAGACAAGGAAGCTTTTGGATTAGAAAAGATCTACGTCACACCAAAAATTAGCATTCATGAACTCATCCATCCTGGTTCGTGACGGGGGAGGCTGTTGTTGGTTTAACGTCCAGAAAACAGCGCAGAACATCTCAGCTGACAGAAGCTAACCCTTAGTATTAGCAACCCCACCACACAGTAAAACTCGATCCAATTCAAGTATTTTTTTATATAGCCTAGTGCCAAATCCTGACAAGAGTCGTGTCACGGCACTTCACAAAGTAAACATTCCAATACAGTTAAGTTCATTAAGTCCACACCAATACAGCACCCCCCCCCCCCCCCCCCCCCCCCCCCCCCACACACACACACACACACACACACACACCATATACAGGTGCTGGCCAGTAAATTAGAATATCATCAAAAGGTTGAAAATATTTCAGTAATTCCATTCAAAACGTGAAACTTGTACATTATATTCATGCAATGCACACAGACCAATGTATTTCCAATGTTCATTACATTTAAATTTGATATTCATAAGTGACAACTAATGAAAACTCCAAATTTGGTATCTCAAAAAATTAGAATATTCTGAAAAGGCTGAATATAGAAGACACCTGCTGCCACTCTAATCAGCTGATTTACTCAAAACACCTGCAAAGGCCTTTAAAAGGTCCCTCAGTCTTGTTTTGAAGGCACCACAATCATGGGGAAGACTTCTGACTTAACAGCTGTCCAAAAGACAATCATTGACACCTTGCACAAGGAGGGCAAGACACAAAAGGTGATTGCTAAAGAAGCTGGCTGTTCGCAGAGCTCTGTGTCCAAGCACATTAACAGACAGGCGAAGGGACGGAAAAAATGTGGTAGAAAAAAGTGTACAAGCTCTAGGGATAACCGCACCCTGCAGAGAATTGTGACGACAAACCCATTCAAAAATGTGGGGGA